TTAGATAGTGATATTCAAGAAAATAACAATAACGATATTGTTTGGCCGATTTTATCTTTTATAATTTTCATGGTATGGCGAAAACACGTAAGTCTATTGGTTTGTTTTAATGTTGATTATGTCACCATCCGAAATAAGAGTCGCATAATACATATTGTTGGAAAATATATCTCCCACCGGTCCAAAGTTTTCAAATTTTCTTTGATGTTTTACGCATAACTAAAAATTTGGGTTTTTTTGTCAATGTAAAAAAAAATGTTTAATAATGTGAGACCCTAAGCGATGACTCCACTTGCTTGGCCTCTGGACCAGCCCGATAGATGGTATTGTTTAATATAGACATTAATTTATTAAATGAAGGCTACGATTTTGGATTTTTGTTTAAAATTTATTTAGAGTGGTATATGCTAAATTAAATGACAAAATAAAAATAAAAATATTATAGAAAAATAACTTGTTAAGAAAAAACTATGAGTAGTATATATTATTGGGATTAAGAAGTAAAATAAAAACTCTTACGGATGGGTGATATTTTGTTAACATGTTATTTTTTTGTAATTTATTAATGATTTATAGAGACATTTAAATTGTTAAATGAAAATTGTGATTTAGATTTTAAGATTTAAGATTTATTTTTATACGAGCATTATATTCTAAACTAAACGTCCAAATTAAAATATTACAGATGAATAACGTGTTCATGCTTTCCATAGCAATTTACATTAAAATAAAAAGTGGGAAATAATCCATTGCTTGATAGCAATAATTCACATCAATAATATTTTCTTAATTCCATATGTTTTTTTATTACTTAGTTACCTAATTCATTCCACTTAGGCACGTCCTTCATAAGATTAGTTAACCATCGAAATCTATGTCTATGTATGTTTTTTTTTTTATATATATATATATAATGTAAAGCAGTTAATGATATGTATGTTTGCTCGTGTGAATATCAAAATTAGGATAATTCTGCTTCAAATTCCGTTGAAAAGAACAATTCAAAAATCTATCTTCTTCCTTTTTTAACTAAAGTTTTTGAAATCTTTCAGACACTTAATGTTTTTGAACAGGTGACCAAAACAAGTTAATTAGCCCCATTTTCCATCGGTGTGACTTCCGACTTTTCTCCTAAAAGTAACAGAAACTTCAAATTCTATATTGACAACATTAAAATTCAAAACTGCTTTCTGCAAATTAATAATAATCCGGGCACAAATGTATAACTTTTTCTTGGAGACTGAGGCTTGTTATACATCTGAGAAACAACGCGGTTTCATTTCTTTTAGAATATTCATAATCAATTATCTAATTCTTTTATTAATTAATATCCATTCTTTTGAGTGCTTTTTTTTTGTCTGTAAGTTGAGAATAACTGTGGATTGATGATACTCCACCGTACAAAAAGTTGATTTGACGATTAGTTTAACTTTTATTTTATTTTCTTTTCTATCTCATTCTTATCACCTTTTAGTTTCATCATTTTGACTATATATTATTGTATAATATACATGCTTATTTTCCCCAAAAAAAAGAACCCCCAACAAATTTTATTGCTTTTGAATGAAACTAACATGATCCACAGTCGGAGAGTTTTTACCAACTTAAGGGACAAAGACCACGCAAGTTTTCTTTTAACCATGTGGGCTTTGGAATTGTGTGAACAGTCACAAATGTTCCAAAGTTATTTTTGCATTAACAATGTTTCTTTGGTCATGTGTGTTTTGAGACCAAAAGCATGGCATTCATTCAAGTTCGAATCTCAGGAGTTGCTGATATGTTTACAACTTTTTTTGGAATGGAGTTTATAATTAGAAAATCCCAAAACTAACAGAGGAGCTCATCTTATCGCTCATAAAGTTACTAGCGAGTGTCGTCTTTAATCTTATATAACAGCAAATCATCCGACTAATTGGCTACATGCTACAAGGGGTTTTTAAAAATGAGAGAGCCTCGTCCTCTGTTTAGCTTCTCTATTGTGGGTTTCTTTTCTTGGTATTGTTGTGGAGTCAACATTCTTTTGGAAATGCCATGTTTTCATAAATGCCATGTTTCTCCTAAGTCTTTTGCCTCTGTTAGATGAATATTTTCTGTCTACTTAGGTTATATTACAAAATCCAGTTGACCAAAAAAAAATGAAACTAACCTTTAATTAATTATTTTCATCAAAACTTACGTATGAATTCCGAATCTAGCTAATTTATCTTGTATGCTATACCTCAACAGTTAGTTCTTTTGTCAAAAGAAAAAATTTCGAGGATGCAAGGTGCTCATGTGATAAAAGGCTTTTGGTTAATATTATCAATAAGATTTTATAAAGTACAAATTACAAAGGAGACAATTCATAAATTAAGTCCAATCCAAACCAATTTATTTACAAGAGTACGATACTAATGAGTTAATGTGTCAATTTAGTTAGGTGATAATAGGTTAATGAATGACCATTTCACCCATTGTTTCTTTTTTATGTTTTAAAATTGAAACAAATCCCTTTAACAATAACCACCACCATGATCAACTTCTCATCATCATACAATCATTATTGTCGTCATCATCATACCATGATCAAAATACTATCAATCATCATCATCATCAACAACAATACGTGACTTTTAGTGTTGCATTTTAAGGACAAAAAATTAAATATGGTATAGTGTTGTGTTTTTATCGATCTTGAGTCTTTACTTTTTTAGAGTATGCCAACTCTTGTGTGTCACTTCACATATTTTTAATGAAAAATGTGAGAATTTGGATCAAAAATGCATGAACACGAGAAAAAGAATGAAGATCCTCCATTTAGTGGAGCATTGTTGTTCACCAACAGTACCAGTCTAGCAAATACCTAATCAATGATGATTTCACACACAGACACAAACACTCAATATCGGTTCATGATATTGATCTGCGTCCACTCTACCATGACTAGTTCTATAGGAGCCTACCAGTGTCACAGTGTGTACCTCTTGGAACTACACCAATATTAGATTAAACCATGTAGTACCAAATAAGCTAGCATACGGTCATAGACCTTCCTATCTCACATGATACCAGTCAAGTATACCAGTCTACCTCTTATTTTTAGTTTATTAAACTAATTATGGCTTTTAACACGTTGACATTTGCTTTCTTCTAATATGTGTGAGTAGATTCCAAATAAGGTTTTCTAAATGATTTCTTGAATTAATAAGATTATATAGTGATTTGAAAATTAATCAAATGGTTCTTAATCTAGGGTTGTTTTTACTTTTTAATGCAAAATTGGATGAGCATCTAGATCTAGATATTGAAGTTTAGCACACCAAGTTGTAAAATATGCATGAAAGAACGATACTCCAAACCAATCAAAGTTGACGTTAGAATGAATTGTTTCCTATTAATTGCGTTACTGACGATGATTAGTGTGTTTCTGGTTTCTTAAATCTTTCTGAATTCTTGTTTAATTGTTCATTTTATGCTTACACTCTATTCTTAGTTGATTTCATTAGTGATTGCTAATCAAAACATCAAAAGAATGTTTCATATTAGTTTGATCTTACACTTGAAAACAAAATGTAACATTTGGTCCTTGCAGTTCGACCTCATGACACAATTAGCGTGAACTTACATGTTAGTCGATCTTCATTAAAAGCTAATCGTATCAGCTAGTTGTCTGTCCCCTTAGAGGTACCTCTATCTAGACCTCTAAGGATAAGGATGGTTACATGGTCTAATTAGCGCTATCATGAGCTGGGTGGTCGTTTGAGGTAAATGTGCTTGACTTCTTTAGACCACTTAAAAACTTATTAGCTAATATTTCTCGTACCCAAAAACGTGACCAAGCTACATAGTATACGGGTAACACGAGTAGAAGATGTTTATTTTTACCCATCAAGTTGTTTGGAGCTTTGAAAGGATTGAAGGATGTTTGGACCGAGACAATTATTTGATCTCATTTTTGCTCCACTATCTTTCCGGGACATCTATACTCCCTTTGAACTGAAGATCAACATAGAAGCCAGAGAAGATGAAGATATTGTAAAGCTTGAAAACGTTTTAGATGGGTGAACTGGCCGCCAAATTGGAAAATAACAAAATGGTGGTGGCTTGCAGATGATGATTTTGGTGGAGTTTAGAAAGAAGCTGGAGATAACTGAAGCTAGATATAGATCAACTCTTAGAAACTATATGCGAATAATATTTTTCATGAGAAATGCATCCACACATTAACACCTAAGTGTCTATTCGTCTCTCATGTTCTTTCCTTGGGACACACGACTATAAGGTTTCAAAGACCTACTATGCACTCACAATTCTATCCCATGAAATGTCTAGCTGACATAAATCCATATTTCACGAACTGTTTCAAGACCGTTACGCTTTCTAGTTCTAAACAATATATCATTTTCGTTGGTTTAACAGAACCATCGATTACGAGACTATAATTTTTAAAAAATGTTACAAAAATGTAAAACATGTCCTTGACTCCTTAGAAAACAAATATAAACAAGTATTTTGTGGTCCTTCTTGCATTCCACACTTGTTTTTGCTTGAAACTGGGTAGAAGTCGTTTTAACGTTCTGCCACTTGTACTTCAAATTTGTTCTTGTACCTAACTCATCTACTGATTTTAGCGAGGTTTCAAATTCATGTGTGTCCTGCTTTTGTCCAGGCCCGGTTCTAAAGAGATGTTTTGAGGTTAATCTATCATAAAAAATATGTTAGTATTTTTGGTTTGCAATAAATGGATCGAATCAAGGTCGCTATAATGATATACGGCGCCACTTCATACTCGGAATCTAAAGAGAAAAAAAGTGTAACATAATATAATTCTCGGTTCTTAATCACTTCAATTTAAATTTTTCATCGAATGATTATGATTTTGATCTCCAATCTCAATTAATTAAATATAAGCCAAACCACATAATGAAAGGAGAGGTGGTAGAAAGAAAACGTTTATGTATCAAACTCTAAATAAAAGAAAGTGCGTGTATAGACACGAAGGCTCCAAACTTTTGCATGTCTCACACGTGTCGTCCGCTTTCTCCCTACTTAACACATATATGCATGCACCCTTCTTACAAAGATAGCAAAACATTGTGAATCATCAGAGAGAGTGGGGAAAAATGGAGAAAAACAAGAGAGCTTTAGGGTTTTTGCTTCTGGTGGTGCTTATCAATGGAGTTATGATGACGAGATCAAATGGATATGAAGGAGAAGAAGAGTGGGGAGGAGAAGGAGGAGGAGAGTGGGGAGGAGGTGGAGGAGGAGGAGAATGGGGAGGAGGTGGAGGAGGAGGAGAGTGGGGAGGAGAAGGAGAAGGAGGTGGAGGAGGAGGAGGAAGTGGACGAGGCGGAGGTGGTGGAGGAAGAAGAGGATGGTTCATGATGAGAGATTCGAAGCAGGTGATCAAATCAGAAGGTGGAGAGATGAGAGTTGTGATATCACCAAGAGGAAGGATCATTGAGAAGCCAATGCACATTGGGTTTCTAACAATGGAACCTAAGACCCTCTTTGTCCCTCAGTATCTTGACTCAAGCCTTCTCATCTTTATTCGTCAAGGTCTCTATTTCGCTCTCTCTCAACATGTGTGTCTCTCTTTTTTTCAACATGTGTGTCTCTCTCTCAACATGTGATTACTTGCAGGTGAAGCAACGCTTGGAGTGATATGCAAAGACGAATTCGGAGAGAGGAAATTGAAAGCAGGAGACATCTACTGGATTCCGGCTGGTTCTGTCTTTTATTTGCTTAACACAGGCCGAGGTCAACGCCTTCACGTCATTTGCAGCATTGATCCAACTCAGAGCCTCGGTTTCGAAACCTTCCAAGTACTTAGATTTAATATATAGGACTAATCAAAGTTGCATTGATTTATAAAATTTTGCATTTGGCTAACTTGTTACTTCTGTGTAGCCTTTCTATATAGGTGGAGGACCGTCGTCTGTTCTCGCTGGCTTTGATCCTGACACTTTAACTTCAGCATTCAACGTTAGTACTATTTCAACCCACATGATTCTTTCATCCATATCGAAAAAGAAAATGTGGTTTGGACACTTTTAGAATTTCTTATATACCCTTAATTTTTATCCCATATGTTGGTTTTTCCTAAGCAAAACTATATTATTTCATATTTCCATTTAATGCAGCACAAGCTATAACATTATATTATAATTTTGAGTATAATATTCGGCTTTTATAGTATAAATTTCTTAAAATCTTAAGAAAATTATACTTTTTTAAATTCTGTGAGTGCCATTAATTAACGTTGTAAGATAGTTATAAAATTTTGAATTTTGAGAGGTACAATACTTAACCATATTTGCTCACATTATTTTTTCGCTTTTTGTACATTATATGGATGATAAGATCACTCTAGATCTAGATTTGGCTATTACTTTTTTTTTTTTTTGATAAAGAATTTGGCTATTACTTGATTAGAGAGTATGCGTAAAAGGAAAAACAAATACAAGATAAGAAAAGAACTAATTTTGAATGTGTTCTATATAGTACATTTGCATCATAACCAAAAACTTAAATGATATTTTCATAAACAAAAATTTAAACGGAGAGAATATTAATTAGCGCTTATCATATTCTCATATTTCTCATATCAGTTCTATGCTTGTAATATAGGTATCCCGACCAGAGCTTCAACAAATGATGATGAGTCAATTCCGTGGCCCGATTGTACACGTCATGGAAGGGCCACAACCACAACCGACGATATGGACCCAATTCTTGGGGTTGAGAGGGGAAGAGAAACATAAGCAACTCAAGAAACTCTTGGAGATGAAACAAGGATCCCCTCAAGATCAACAATCCACTTCAGGGTGGTCTTGGAGGAATATTGTAAGATCGATTTTGGATCTAACAGAAGAAAAGAATAAAGGGTCAGGATCGTCCGAGTGCGAGGACTCATACAACATCTATGATCAGAAACGCAGTTTCAAAAATGACTATGGATGGAGTATAGCTCTTGACTATGACGATTACGAGCCTCTCAAACACTCGGGGATCGGAGTTTATCTTGTAAATCTCACCGCGGTATGATTCATATCTCTTAGTTGGTTACTACACTAAAATTAGATTAATAAACAAGTATGTTAGCAACATCTAGCAAATTTTCTATCTATGGGAATAAAAAATTGATAAAATATATCATTATGTACGCTTTATAGGATTTGTTAGTTCCGAACACATAGTTTTGTAATTCTTGGATACTAGACCGACTAAGAATTAATGTTTTGGTATAGATTAAATTGGTTTAGAAAAAAGAAAACAATTATAAACGGTATTTAATTGATTGAATTTTAACAATTATCAGGGATCAATGATGGCTCCACACATGAACCCAACAGCCACAGAATATGGCATCGTTTTAGCTGGCTCTGGAGACATTCAAGTTGTATTTCCTAATGGAACTTCTGCTATGAACACGAGAGTCTCCGTAGGAGATGTCTTCTGGATCCCTCGATACTTCGCTTTTTGCCAGATCGCATCTCGGACCGGACCATTCGAGTTTGTAGGATTTACCACATCGGCTCACAAGAATCGGCCTCAGTTCCTAGTCGGATCAAACTCACTACTCAAGACTCTGAATCTGACGTCATTGTCCATGGCATTCGGAGTCGATGAAGAGACAATGAGGCGGTTCATTGATGCCCAGAGAGAGGCTGTTATTCTCCCTACCGCTTCGGCAGCTCCTCCGCATGTCGGCGAAGGGGTGCACAATCGCCTTGTTTAATGTGCAAAAGGTTTCTTTGCTATGTATGTAGTTAACTATGAGTATGTATGGATGTATGTTTTTGTTTCTTTGATATAACATTAATAAAGGTGATCACTATAAGAAGGTTTATGTTTTTGTCCATTCTTCGAAACGACAACGTTATCTTTGATTATGTTAATGAACTCTTGTTTACAAATTTAAAGAAAGTAAATGACAGATATCCCACATCGACTAGAAAGGAAAAAAACAAAAAAAAAAAGACCAAAAGTATTCGGCTATAAAAAGTGCAGCGACCATGTGTAAGAGATTTTAGGGTTTCAAAGTGTTTTGCTATGGTTAAGACTAAGAGTTCGGTTGCATTGAGACGTACATTTGTTACTCGTCTGGACCGCACATATGAGGTGGTTGATGATCCTTCAACAGATGCAATCATCTCTTGGAGCCAAAGCGGCAAGAGTTTCATCGTTTGGAATCCATCGGAGTTTTGCAAAGATCTTCTTCCGAGATGCTTTGGACACCACCATTTCCCATTATTCATCTAGACGCTTAAAGATTATGTAAGTTGTTGCGCTGTGCGTATCTTTCTATTTGCAAAGATTAGTTAATATTTTTTGCTTGGATTAAGACTTTGTTTTGATGTTGTAGGGCATTAGGAAAGTTGACTCTGACCTATGGGAATTTGCAGACGATGACTTTGTTAAAGGGAAACCTGAGCTTATTCAGAATATAATTAACCGCGTAGATTCAGATTCAGATGCAAAATCAAGAGTCGGTACGAGGAAGACAATCCTGAAGAAGAAGAATAATGCAGAATCTAGAGTCAGTACGAGCATGACAATCCTGAAGAAGAAAAAGAAAAAGAAGAAAAAAATGACGAAAAGTTCGTTGCAAAGGAAATTGCGGATCAATTCCAAGGTTTACAAATCTGAAGAATATCTTCATCAAATCTAGTAATAACCCTCTTTTTTGTATTGCTTTCCTTATCGCTAATGTGTACCGTTTTTAACTATTTATCTACCGCTAACCGCTATATGTATCCGCTAAAAATGTTGCATCGTTTTGTGGCAACACTCGGATTCTATATTTTTTTTTTTTTGCAGATATTGATGCAATTTGTGGCCTTCTATAATTCTGATCTTTAGTTTCATAACTGTTTCTGTTTGGTTGCATAGTTGTGGCTCTCTTGACTATGAGTATGTACATTCCGTAGGCCCAGAGTATCTCATTAAAATACAAAACAAAGCTTGACAACACAGAATGAGCCTGTTTCCAACACTTTAATACTTTTTCTCTAAAGCCCATAGTTTATTTTAGTAATCAAGAATCTGATCCACATAATGGGCTTGTTAGTTTCCCAGGCCCAATAACAAAAACTCGTCTCTCTCTTTTTTTTGCTTCTCTCTCGTTCTCTCGCCGAGCTTCTCCTAGCCGTCACCACCTCCGGCGAAGCAGGCTGCTGATTCTCAAAACCACGTCACCGGGACGAAATCAGTGTACTTCATCACCCTCCACTCTTCTATCATTCCGATTTGAGGAAGCCAACATCGAATCCTTCAAAGCAAACACTTTCTCAACCCAGCTCCATTGAGCTTTCTCAGGTAAAGGTTTGATATTCAATTATTCATCCTTTATCTCCGATATGGACTAGAATGTATTCAAACGTCAAATTCTCAAAGTATTTTGTTATTTCGTAGTTTTAATCACCACTTGTTCGACGAAATGCTTCTTAGAGAACCTTGGCTAAAATGTTATTCTTAAATTGGATACTTGTGGCTAAATGTTGAATTTTGTAGCAGATTATATAAAAAGCTTGAGTCTTGAGATGATTTAGCCCGAATTATGGCAATTGCTTTTGCTTGTGGGTTTCGAAAAGCTTCATCTTTTCTTAGATCTTCATATCCAGTTCTCATTTCTTCCAGGTTCGTATATTTGAGACTATACAACATTTAGTTTAGTATGTTATGTCCCAAAATGTGATTATATTCTTGTCAAATTTTCCCCACTAGGTTGCTTCCTCAAAGCCAAGAGTTTTATGATTTACCTTCGACGTTTGTTCAACCGACAGTGATCTCAAGACCGATATGTAGGAATTTCAGTCATGGTACGGTGAATCTTGTGATATCAGAAGGGAAACCAAAATTTGAAACTCGGGAGCTTGATCCTCCCAAGAAGTATAAGTGGTTGACGAAAAAGCGGTTGAAGTTGAAAAGAAAGAAAGAAAGAGAGGAAAGAAATGCAGCTAATAGGAAAGACCCGCGGCGACTTACTGTTAAAGGGAAGAAGAAGAAGTTTGTTAATGCAGAGGAAAGAATCAAGTACAAGCTTGAAAAGGTTTGTGAGAGTCTAGTCTAATTCAATAGCAAAACTATGAATTTAATTTATTGAAGTGTGTTTGGTGTTGCTTCGTGTATCAGGCCAAGATTAAAGAAGCATTGCTGATTGAGAAACTAAAACGGTATGAAGTTGCGAAAGTGCAGGGACCTGAGGTTCGACCTCATGAGATTACCGGGGAAGAACGATTCTATCTGAAGAAAATGGGTCAGAAAAGATCTAATTACGTACCGATTGGGAGAAGAGGAGTGTTTGGTGGTGTTATATTAAACATGCATCTGCATTGGAAAAAGCATGAAACCGTTAAGGTTATCTGCAATAATAGTAAGCCAGGCCAAGTGCAACAATACGCAGAGGAGCTTGCCAAACTGAGTGGTGGTGTGCCTGTTAACATCATCGGCGATGATACAATCATATTTTATAGAGGGAAGGGTTATGTGCAGCCACAAGTTATGTCTCCAATCGATACACTATCGAAGAAAAGGGTAAGTCCTCAACCTGTTATTCGGTTTGACACATCTTACTGTAGATGAATGGGAGGTATAACCTTACCTGCTTACGGTTTGCATTTAGAATTCCGAAACTAGAAACCTTACTATTGTCTAATAGAAACCAGGCGATGAATATGTTAGAGGCTTATCATTCGTTTCAATTCGGTTTTGGCTATTAGAGATTAGTTTATCATTCTGCAGTCTACTCATTTGGTTGGGGCTATGTCTTGTTTGCTAGTTCCTAACAGTCTTATTTCTTTTGTAGGCATATGAAAGATCGAAGTACGAACAATCTCTTGAATCTGTGAGACATTTTATAGCAATTGCAGAGAAGGAACTTGAACTTTATTACAGGCATGTTGCTCTTTATGATGACCCAAATAACAGAAATCCTCTTTCGATATTGGATGATTCTCCATCGGAATCACGTCAACACCGTGAGAATGAGTTCTATTTGAGTTGTTCGGATACTGACGCTAATTCCGAAGATGAAGATGAAGAGTTCTGTGAATTAGATAATGGTTCTTCTTCTTCTTCTTTTTCTTCTGCAAAGGAAGAGTTGTCTGAGAGTGAAAACTGATAGCGAATTGGATATTTAGAAACTTTGGTTTGTAGGTTTGGTAATAATTAAACGCAGAAATTAAATGATTTCTTGTGTAGTAGGTGCAAAATTAAATCCGATCTATATATGTACAAACTTCTCAAATTTTTTTTTTTTTTTTAAGAATATAGTTTTTCAACCCCATTGTGTATTTTAAACCCCATTGTGTAAGAGAGAATGCATTTACTCATGATTGCGAAATGTTTTTGTTTTGTCAAGAACATACAATATGCGGATTTGAATCTGGCTGATGACATAGACAACAATAACATAAACCCATTGTAGTAGATAGAATGCATTTATCCATAACTGTGAAATGTTTTTTTTGTCAACAACATGCAATGTGCAAATTTGAACTCACATAGTGACAGCACTAATACAAATAACTAGGTTACAAATATCTTCATGGAATAGAATGATAGAAATCTTAATATTTTCCAAAATTATTATTATTCGATTCTTTGGTTGGACCCAAAATTTTGCAATTTAAGAAATAATGTGGAGAAAAATCAGGCTTTCATGTAGAAAAGTAAACAATAACGACTTTGTGAACATGACATGTGATGTGATACCTCTCTTATATAATTGTGTATAAGCTCAAAACTACATAGGTTGTGTAAATTGATCCAAGACCAAGAGACAAAATAGATGCAAAAGATATCAAATTTCTCAGTATATCTTTATCAAAAAAAAAATTCTCACTATTTATTCCTATAAAGACATGAATCGAAATTTTCTTGGTAAAAAATCTTAAATGTAAGAGAACAGAAAGAAATTATCTTTTTGAAACAATTTTTAGCTATATGATTTTTTTTTTGTCGGCTTGATAAATGATTTAAAACCTCACAGAACTTATGTGAGACTGGATGGATTAGGTAAATAAATTGCATACGATTGACATGGTATAAGAAAAATAATAAATAGAAAACTAAAAAATGAGTAAAATAATGAAAAATAGGTGAGCGACTAGTGTAAAATGATGAGAGAAGAGAGGGTCGCTAAGCATAATAGTACCAAACACGGACGATTCATGGAAACTCGCGTCACATGTTGTTGTTGGCTTATTAGTTGGGACAATGACAACTATCCCCAACACTCTCCATTTATACTCTCTTTTAATATTATTCTCTTTCAATAACAATTCTATTTTGTTAATCCTAATTATTTTGTTCCATAAATAAACACATTTATTAGAGGCTAGAGCTAAGCAAAATATTTTTTACTATCTCGTATCCGTTACTTATTTTGTATCCGTCTCGAAAACGCAAATATCTGAAAGCATATACTCCAGTAACATATATTATTGAAAGACAAACCAATTCACTTTCGATTAGCGTTTAACATGTTCAGTGGTATGATCTTCTCGAACAAAGTTATCTTCTTTGGAACTATTTGAGGTATAAACTGTTTTAGGACATCATCGTTCACGTAATCTTTGCACCAAAGTAGCCATATTTATCTCATTATCTGTAATAGAACATCACGATTTTTGACTTGTGTTTGAAAATCGATTTTCGATTAATTAATTTACTTTTTTAAGAGAAAGCAGGTTACAGTGGGTGATGTCGTGTGGCTAAGCTATGACGCAGTGTACCAAATCGTATTAAGTCGTTGGAACAAACATTTATGTGATGGTAATGTGACATCGTCGTCACCCGTAACCCCCACACACACATACGCACTATCCACTAAGCTTACAATTTATGTTAATTTTTTGTGCATAACCAACATTGAATAATAGACAAATTTTTATGACGGCAGGTGTTTTATCCATTCACATAGATATGCGTTACAAGTCTTTAATTTTATGGGACTGGCTTCCTTGTCACAATATCATCCCGTCTATTTTCTAATTTTGTCTTTGCTTCTTACGTGTAGAAACTCTGGAATATATCATTTCTATCAAATTAAATAATGTTTTTGAAAAATAATTTATTGTCAGATAATGTTTCGATAATCAATAATAATGGTGGTGGTTGAAATTTAGGAATGGTAGAAGTTATGTTCACTCATTCTACCGTACAATTTTCATCCTTAAATACAATCATTCCCCATCATGATCCAACTTTTATTTATTTTTTATTTATTTTTTTTCCATGATCCAAATTTTTACTTGTATGGAAAACAAAATCTGAAATTGTGTACGAACATGAGACTATAATATGAATATATATACATACCTAATGTTGATTTAGTGTATCATATTAAAAAATCAATAATCTTTTATGTTATAGCTAGAATCTTTTTATTCATATATCTTACCTAGAGAATATTTGTATATATCTTATCATCATTGGATTTATGTATTCATATAGCTTACCACATTAGCAAATTCAACGAAGTTGAGTGGTCCTGTGGTCGATAAAATCAATTCACATTAGCCTATATACATGAGACTAATATGATTCTATTTACATACCTAATGTTGATTTAGTGTATCATTTTATATATCAATATAAAGAACTCAATAATCTTTTATGTTATAGAATCTTTTTATTCATATATCTTAACTAGAGAATAATTGTATACTTTTTTTTAAAAAAGAATAATTTTATATTATCATTATTGGATTTTTATATTCATATAGCTTCCCACATTAGCAACTTTTCAAATTTCAACGAAGTTGAGTGGTCTTGTGGTCGATACACTCGAGTCACATAAGCCAATTTTGGTTTCGAAACAATAGTGTAACTCCAAAATTACAATCAAAGTCAAAACTCGTAAGTCGTAGTTACCATTGTCTCCATCTCATCAATACCCATAGCTTTCTACACCATTAAACCACCACGTGTCTCCTTCTGTCCTACCAATAAAATCATTAGGTCCACCATAACAAATAACTCTGAGAAACACTTGATAACTCCCCCCTACTCGTCTTCTCTCCTTTATTAACTTGCTTCTTCTCTCGGCTACTACTATACCCGCGTCTTCGTCACTCTACAAAATCCTAATCAAACCATTAACACTAATCCTTCTTCTTAATCTTCTTCTTCGCCGCCATTATTCTTAAATCCAAGAACAAGACGAGGATGATGCAATTGCAATGCGTATACGCCTAACCAAAAAATGTGGTGATCAAATCCAACCACTGAAGCAATCGCAAAATCAGAGCAAAAGCGAAAGCGAAAGTAATCCATTTAAGAAATCTGTGTAGGTATGAGAAAATGCAGTAACACAAAGCCGTGAAGCAACATGGCTTAACTCTGTCTTCAAGAAGATTCGTGTTTATATATAGATTTCAAAAACGAAATCAATCACATCGATCGAATCTCGAAGAAAAAATGGTTCAAGGAAGGAAGATGAAGATGATATTATTACTTATACTTCAGATAGTGATGGCGGCGACGGCGGCGAATGTGACGTACGACCACCGTGCTTTAGTAATTGACGGGAAACGGAAAGTTCTGATCTCAGGCTCTATTCATTATCCTCGGAGTACTCCTGAGGTAACTACACTGTTTCCGCATGTCTATGGCTCCGACTGTTAACGCGTATGTATTATTAAAGATGTATCTGTGACAGGCTGGATAACAAACTTTTTTGTTTTGGTAGATGTGGCCAGACCTTATACAGAAATCTAAAGACGGTGGTTTAGATGTTATAGAGACGTATGTGTTTTGGAGTGGCCACGAACCGGAGAAGAATAAGGTCGGTTTGGTTTTTTGGATTTTTGCTTGATTATTTGGAATTTTGGAGTTTTTTTTCTGAATTTTTGGAAATTTTTGCAGTATAATTTTGAAGGAAGATATGATTTAGTGAAATTTGTGAAGCTTGTGGAGGAGGCTGGTCTTTATGTTCATCTAAGAATTGGTCCTTATGTTTGTGCTGAATGGAATTACGGGTAAGATCGGGTTAAATCCGGTTTTGGTGTGATTAATTTAGCGGTTTGTAATTAAAATCTTGGGTGATTGTTTTTTTTGTGTGTGCAACAGTGGTTTCCCAGTGTGGTTGCATTTTGTTCCTGGAATTAAGTTTCGAACTGATAATGAGCCGTTTAAGGTATGGTTAGGTGATGTGTCATTTATTTTTGTTTGTGTTGTAAATGTATAATTTAAGATGGGTTTGGTTTGTTGTGTGTTGCAGGAAGAAATGCAGAGATTTACCACAAAGATTGTTGATTTGATGAAGCAAGAAAAGCTTTATGCATCACAAGGAGGTCCAATCATTCTCTCGCAGGTTGAATTTTACACTGAGAACTAGTTGAAAAATCTTGTTTATGTACTGGTGTTGTAACAAGTTATATGTTTTGGATGTCAGATTGAGAATGAATATGGAAATATCAATTCAGCTTATGGTACCGCGGCGAAAAGTTATATCAAGTGGTCTGCTTCTATGGCTCTTTCGTTAGATACTGGCGTACCATGGAATATGTGTCAACAAGCAGATGCTCCTGATCCCATGGTGAGTAATTTCTAAGATTTCAACTACTTAAGTATTATAGGTAGTGTGTCAAATTTGTGGTGGTTAGTCTTTCTGATTGGGACATTCTTGCTCTTTGTTTGCTTTATTTTTGGCAGATCAACACATGCAATGGTTTCTACTGTGACCAGTTTACTCCAAACTCAAACAATAAACCAAAGATGTGGACAGAGAACTGGAGTGGATGGTGAGTCTCTTGCTTTTTCTTGCCTTACTAATTTGGTTGTTTCCAAAGATGGTATTTGACTTACTTTCTTGTATATCCGGACCACCAGGTTCCTTGGATTTGGAGATCCTTCTCCTTACAGGCCAGTTGAAGATCTTGCATTTGCAGTCGCGCGGTTTTACCAACGAGGTGGAACTTTCCAGAACTATTACATGGTAACAAACAAAAAAGCCAATTGATTACGCCAATTGATTACTCTGCTAGGAAATATTGAGCAAACTGGTTAGATAAGTTGTTTTGGTCTTGTTTTGTTTAGTATCACGGTGGAACAAACTTTGATAGAACAAGTGGAGGACCTTTAATCTCTACTAGTTATGACTATGATGCTCCAATTGATGAGTATGGTATGGATTCTACCACTGGATGTCTTTGTTTTTACTCTTTGATTTGTAGTTGCAAAGGTGTGTGGATTA